ATTCCCAGCAAGGCAGTTCATGGGCTGTCTGGGGCTCAGGGAAGAGTCAAGGGGCTGCTTTTCTTCCTTCCCGCTTCCCAGATTTTCTCCTTCCAAAGTTTTCCTTGCTCAAGGAGATGCAGCAAAAGCCATCTTTTCAATCCAATACTGGAAACTGCTCGAGGTTGTCATTCAAGGTGCTTCTCTCAGGTCCTGCACTCATCAATCATCTTGGCCATTGGTTTTCCTGGCAGGTTCTTGCATTCACGTCCTACAAGCAAACCAGGATGAGCCAATTCAGCCATTACTGCAACCAATCCAAGCTGGCATTCTGATTTTAAAGGATACTGGGTTTGCCTTACCAGGAGAGATCCCACATTAGGGATAATACCTACAGGTTCTGCCCTCTTCCACTCTCCTGCAATTCCACTGGCCCACACGACAGGAACAACTGCAGCTGACACTTCAGTCAGGACCTTGCTGCTGACAGGAGTTATTATCCCTCTGTAAACACCAAACTGCTTCAATACAAACAATCCAGTGGACACTACAACTCCTTGGCACTTTCTGTGTAACCAGTGCAAGTCAGTTGCTAAGTTACACAAAGTTTTCTTCTAAAGTTGTAATTAATTAAGATATCCAAAAAACAACTGTGAGATAAGAAATCCCCCTATGGTTCTACTTTCAGGGAAAAAAATCCCAAACCCCCATCCCCAGTACTACAATAGCTCAGGCTCCCAGAAAGGCCCAGGGGCTGGGCTGGGCTTTTGGCTGCCCTGGAGCACAGGCAGGAACACGATGTCACCACCCCACGGGCACAGCTGAGAACCCAAAGAGCAGCCACACCAGCAGCTCCTGCCAGCCCTGCCGGGCTGGGCCTTGGGGAGAAAGGGCACTGGCCTTTCTTCCTGCCTAGGAGCAAAGAGCCTCCTTGCTGAGCACTTCTCCTGCCAAGGCCATCAGCTCAGATGGGAAGTTCATCAAGGGCAACTTCCTGGAATGAGAAACATTCCTGTTCCCTGGACAATCTCTATCCAAATGAACTCAGAAGTACACACAAAACTACAGGTGTTACCTGAAAATTCTTACGAGAACCTCTGAGACTCAACTGGTGAGTTTTAGAAGCCAGGTAATCTTGTATTCCTATGCTCTTGAATCATTCCAGCCCACCAGGTACCCTGGCAATCAGATCCCAAAGGGCACAAAGACCTATCTCCACTGCAGCTGATATGGCAGCATTACAGGAGGATTCATTTTCCTTCCCTGCATTCCTGTTCCAAGTTCAAGGCATTCTCCTACACTTTTTACCATACACACCTACCCTTACAAGGTTTCCAAGGGGCTTCACCGAGGGCCTTCCCAGGTCTGCTCTGTCTGGAGCCCTCAAAGTCCTCAGTGCCTGCCTTAGGAACCTCAACACAACTCACCTGCTTACACAGCAACTTGGTGCTGCTTGGCTGCTGCCTCACTTCCCTTCTTCCTTCTTTCTTCACCTCCCTTGGTTGGTCCCTTTCAATCCCTTGGCTCAGCTCTGTGCAGTTTCCAGGCTACATCCCACTGCAAAAAGGATCAGCTCTTGTTACATCTCAACACTCAGACAGCATTCCCCCTTTTTTTCCTGACACTTGGCCACTAGGCCAGTGTCTCATTATTTAAAGCAGAGTTTGACTCCTCAGTGACAACAACTGACAGCCCTGAATCATAACACAGGCTGAGACACAAACACGGATGGGAACTCTGAAGGATCCACTTTGTCCTGCTCACCAATCAAAAGGAGCTTTCTGAACTCAAGAATAACAGACCCCAGGTCCTTTTTCTGCAATGTCAACTGCTATAAATGTGACCCACAAGACCTGCAAAGGCCCTTCCCACTTCACCTGCAGGGCTGGCAGTGCCACCACTGGACACGGACCCAGGGGCTGGGCAGGAACGGAGGGGCTGGGGCGTCCAATCCATCGGCCCAGGCGGCACCAGGAGTTCCTGGAGTTCCTGAGGGGAGAGCCTCAAGACAACAAAGGATTAGGAAGATCATTTTAAAGTTCAATATGCATATTTCCTGGAATATAAGGAGTTTGACAAGGCCTGCTGGTGCAACAAGGACACACTCAAGGCTATCTATTCAAAGGATCTACCAGCACTCAAAAGCTGTCACTGTCCTTCTTGTAGGGCTAACTCAGGAAACTCTGTTTGCCAAGAGCCTCCAGGAAAATTTCCAGCTTTTGGGGCTCCCTTTTAACCATTTTCCCCATCACTGTAGCTGGGACTATCACCTGCCCTACAGGGGGAACAGCCCACAAAGTTCACTTGCAGGGATGCCATTAACTCAAAGTCCCTTCTCAGGGGGGTCACTGCACACCTTGTCCTTTGTTTGCCCTCCCCACCAAAGATGCTTCCAACACTTCTGAGACATCTGGCAGACCCAGAGCTCTCCTCAGGGAATGCTTCAGCTGCTTAAAGGCTGCCCTTGCACCATCTAGACAAGGCAGCAAATGCTTACAGGCTGTTGGAAAAGTTGGCAGAACAGTCTTACCACACATCCAGAGGGAGCAATCCAGAGTCCAGCCCATCCTACCATTCCCAGCAAGGCACTTCATGGGCTGTCTGGGGCTCAGGGAGGAGTCAGGGGGCTTCCTTTCTTCCTTCCCGCTTTCCAGATTTTCTCCTTCCAAAGCAAAGGTTTCTTGGCTTTCCTTGCTCAAGGAGATGCAGCAAAGGCCATCTTTTCAATCCAATACTGGAAACTCCTCGAGGTTGTCATTCAAGGTGCTTCTCTCAGGTCCTGCACTCATCAATCATCTTGGCCATTGGTTTTCTTGGCAGGTTCTTGCATTTATGTCCTACAAGCAAACCAGGATGAGCAAATTCAGCTGTTACTGCATCCAATCCAAGCTGGCATTCTGATTTTAAAGGATACTGGGTTTGCCTTACCCATAGAGATCCCACATTAGGGGTAATACCTACAGGTCCTGCCCTCTTCCACTCTCCTGGAAGTCCACTGGCCCACACGACAGGAACAACTGCAGCTGCCACTTCAGTTGGGACCTTGCTGCTGACAGGAGTTATTCCCTGCACAACAAGAGCTGCTGCTTTGACACATTTAGTTTCAGCAATTACAGTATCAATATTTTCAGTTTCCAATTTCATTGCTGCCTCAACTTTTCCAATCAATCCCTTCCTAGCACAGGTTTGGGTGAGTTTGGCAAAGAGACAGACTGAGGAATTCCCCAATGTTTTCCCAGTTTGACCCCTGTCACACCAATCACCTTAACACTGCCAGTCCTTAATTCTCTCTCTATTATGTTAAGGATTGAGGAAGTTGGACTTGTGTCTGACCAGGACATGTGCAAACCAAATGCTGGGGACTGGAACACACACCTGGCACTCCTGCAGCTCTTACCATTACATTCCAGAGAAAACAGCCAATTGCACCATCACTGCTCATTTCTTAATCCCAATCCCACACTTCCTTTGCACTTGGAGCACCACTTTTATCACCCAATTACAGTCCATTAGAGAGCTCCATGTCTAGCAGGGACAGGGACCCCTGGGATACTCTCAGCAATGCCTGAATCCATTGCAGGGACCTTGCTTTGAGCTCCCCAGGGCCGGGCACCCCGAGGATCTCCCCGAATAATCCTTTCGGTGCGCGCTGGAGTCCTCGGGGTGCCCCAACCCGGGGGGCACCCACAGCACTGTCCCTCCAGGGGGCCAATTTGGTCTCAAGCTTGCCATGGACAGCCCAAAAGGCATTTCAAGAGTCCTTCTTCGGAACCCACCAACGGGTACGGGGAGGAAGCCACAAGAAGGCCTCATTTCTAAAGGCAGGGGGATCTTGCCTGTGTCCCAGACTGGTCCGGGGATCTGAGGCCCTTCCCGAGAAAATCTCGGTGCCGGCGTGAAGGGCCAGAGATCCCTTGGAGCCACGGGAGAGCAGGCACAGAGTCCCTCCTGGGGGGGCAATTCTGCTGCCTGAACTCAGCTCTTCAAAGAAACCTCTAAGTCTCAGCTTGTGAGTTTTAGAAGCCAGGCATTCCTGCACGCTGTAATATATTTTAAGAGCTTACTGACTGAATAACAGATAGCTTTTATCAGGGACATCTGACCTCCCACAGACAGCTCCTTTCCCCTTTCAGTACAAAATTATTTTCATGGTATCACTTAATAGGAAGTGCCCAGGAACCCCAGACTGTGCTTTTCAGAACAGAAAATAAACAGAGGGAAGGAGCTTTGCACGAGTGTAACATACTCCAGAACAGACCTGACTTTAGTTTTACTCTTTGTGTTCAAATATAGCAGAAGACAAACACTCCAGCAGGAGAGCTGGCACATTACCCATGGTACCCTCAAAGTCCACCTTATGAGATCTGGAGGAAAATTGCAGTTGTACCAGTCCCTTGTGCCTGCAGATGCCTGGGGATCCTCTCCATCCACCTCATGCTCTCCCAACAGCAGAAAGGGTGACCTCAGGGACACGGTGGCACTCGACATCCTGCTGAGAGAGCAAGGAAACCTTTAGCATAAAGGTGAGTTGGAATCTAAAACTTCCTTTCCTGGGAGCTTTGTCAAGTCTGCAACCAAGAGGGGAAAAATTTGCATCTCCTTTGGTGCAGGTGTCAACAGAGGCCAACAGAGCTTGCACCTTTTTCAGACAACTGTGCCCTTTCTGGCTCCCTGGCAGCTCCAATGGCACCAGAACCCCCTTCCTGCACACCCACGGCTGTCACACACAGCCACCCACACACCTTTGCTCCAGCCCACACGGGGCCAACATTTCCTCACCCTGCACATCCCAAGGGCAGTATTTTTGCTAGAGAGCACAGCAACCCCCCTGTCCTTGCAGACTGCCTCCCTGCAAAAAAGGAACCATTTCTCCTGGACACTTCTCCCACAATCAAGCTCTTTTAAGACCTGCTCAGGGTCCCTCCCAGCTTCTGCCTGTCCTTGCATTTAAAGGCACGGGCATATTCTGTCTTCCAACAGCAAACCCAGCTCCTCACTGGCAGTATAAGCCCTGCTCTTACCTGGACAGACTCCCAGGCTTCGGCACAGCTGTGGCTCATGGAGCAGCTTCCCAAGGCCCTTCTCTCTCCCAGCAGGAAGCACAACTCGCCTCCACTCCCCAGCACCAGGGGAAACCACGAGCCAGGCTGCAAACTGACACAGAACGAGCAAAAAGCATTAACGCAGCACCAAGAAACTAAGGGAGACCAGTCTTTGCCTTGTAACCCTGCACGGGGAAAGGCTTTGGGATTCCGGGACAAACCCTGAGACACCCAGAGAGCACCAGCCCCGCAGCCCTGCCACGGCTCCCCCCGGGGTCACCCGGCAGGGAAGGGGCTTACCCGGCCCCCGCTGCCCAGCACAAGGCGCCCCTAAACGCCCCCCGGCTCCCCCGGTCCATAAACCCAGCGGCCAAGGCGCTCTCCCCTCCGCAAAGCCACGAGGGGCCCAACCCTGCCGCACACCCCCAGCACAGACCCCCCAGCCCAGCCCGTGTCAGAGCACTCCCCGCACATCCCCCGCCGTGTCACCTCTCCCGGGGCTGGGCTGTGTCCTGCCCCTGGCCGGGCTCGTCCTCCCGTGCAGCCTCTCCTGGTGCTGTGCTGAGCCGGGCTTGCCCAGGCGGGACCTCTGGGAACGAGGCACAGCTGCTCTGGGGACGGGAGCAATCAGGAAACCTTCCCGCAGGCTGACCCGGTCCCACCGGTGGCTGCGCTTGCCCCGTGCTCGGGGGGAGCCCCATCCTCGGGCGGCTCTGGCCGGCAGCCCCCCGGGCAGTTCCCGCAGAGCTGAACCTGTGCAAAGACAGGGGGAAAACACTCGCGTACGCAACACAAAGCTCCAGGCGCTTTCCCCGCCGTGCCGCACATCCCTCCGGGAGAGGCCCCGGCCCGGGCACAGCCGAGCTCCCGGCACGGCCCGGGGGCGGCCGCTCGAGCCCCCCCGGCCGGAGCCGCAGCCGGGACAGCCCGGGCCGACCCCGGGCCGAGCTCCGCACCCTCCGTGCCGCGGGTGCCCGAAGGTCTCTGCGCACACACGGCCCTGCCGGGCACGGATACCCGGGATCACGACGGGGCAGCTCGGACACGGACACGGACACGGACACGGACACGGACACGGACACGGACACGGACACGGACACGGACACGGACACGGACACGGACACGGACACGGCACTCCCCGGCCCCTCCCGACCCGCACACCCCAAAGCCTCCCCCGGCCCCGCCGGCGCTCGGTAAAAGGGCTGCGGGCGGGGCCGGGCGGGGCCGGGCCGGGGCGGTCCCTGCGCGGCACCTGCGGGGCGGGGGGAGCGGGGCGGGGCTGCGGCACCAACGGGCTCGGTGGCGCCGTCTGGCGAAACCCGCCCGGCACTGCAGGAACAGCCCTCGGGGCGCGCCGGGATCGCAGTTCCGCGCGGCCCCGCCCCCCTGTCTCTGGGAGGTCTCGGCTTCTGCACATCTTCTTGTGACGTGTTGAATTTAGAGATGAGCTGATAAAGGCGGTGACACTGTTCTGTCGTCACTGAGCTTCTGAGGACTTCAAACTCCTTACTTATAAGTCCTAAAATCTGTACACTGCTTTTGAATGGATGACACCACATCAGTCTCTTTGAGGGAGCGTCTAGTCACATGCTGACTGAAATAATAGCTCCCGAGCATGGTTTTCCCTCGCCGAGTGCTCCTGAATTCAGAGTTCAAGTGCCCCAAAGAATGGAGTCAGCCTCTTCTCCACCTTTGCTGAGAACAGACGGGGTGCCTGGTCTTTAATCCCGAAGCCAAGGTTATTTTCCTCGTTGTGTCAAAGCCAGCCTGGCTCGTGGCACAGGTCTAACACAGCAGTGCCAACGCAGAGCATTACAGACCAGATACTGTCCAACCTCCGGCTGGGCCACTGGCTTTGTGCTGGGCACCCCCACGGCTCGGGAACACACTGCTCCGAACACACCCTCTGACCAACAGATGCCTGTGATTACAAAACTTCCACTGCCTAAACCCCTTCCCCTCAGAAGGACTCCGGTGCTATCGCTGTCGTGGTCACAACAAAAATAATAAACTCCGTTTATAGAAATTTCCCAGTCATTTCTCTGTGGAACAGGCACAAGGTCACAGCAGCCCCTGTGCCTTTCTTTCCATGGAGTGGGTGCCTGCTTTGGACTCTCCCGCTACAGCTGCACTAGGAAGCGATGCTGGGTCACGGCTCCTCTCCGGCGGTTTTTCCGCACTGTCAAACTCTCCGTGTGGTTCAGGTGCACGGTTCAGGGCGACTCCCCACAGCGCTGTCCCAGACGGCCCCGGGATCCCCCCGGGATGGCCCCGGGATCCCCCCGGGATCCCCGTACTCGCAGCGCCGCCCGCGCCCCCACCCCGCCTGGCGCCGTCTGGCGGACACAGCCGGTACTGCAGGGCCCATTGCACAGCTTGCCGAGTTTGTAATTATTTATTTTCTCCTTTCGGGCATAAAGCAGCGAGAACAGGACACTGTCGTCTCCTACGCTGGCAGGATTCGGTGCCAGGCTGCAGCTCGCCATCAGTGCTGGGCGCTGGGAGACAGCTGCACAGATGCACGTGCCTCCGTGACAGCTCACTGCTGTAGAAACCGTGATTTTCCTGGTCTTTGATCCCAGTTCTCCTTCCCTCTGCAGACACGTGCAGCATCTGGAGCAGATTTTCACCACCATCAATTAAAACTCCATATTTGGGGGGAGGGGGAGGGGGATAAAATGGGGGTTCTGCCTTTAAAACCACCTCTGCCTTCAGCCCAAGGATCTGGTCTGAGGGGGCACAACTGGTCTCGAGGGGAGTGCACGGTGCATGGGGAGGCTGAGCAGATTTGGGGCCCGGGGTTCACCACAGCCGTTAGGTTTCCATCCCTCCATACCTCAGTATTGCTTCCCTCTCATCAGTTCCCCAGGCAGGACCAGTGAGGATCATTTCAGCTGCATCTTCTCCTCTTCCCAGGCTTGGCTTTGGACCCTAGAAGATGGCAACATGTTGTATTTTCGTTTTTCAAGGGACAAAGGGAAAGCTTCACTCTAAGGAGACCCCAAAGAGCTCTACAACACTCCCAGCAGAAGTTTGGGATGAGGCTGTATCCCCCAAGCTGGAGACCCCAACCCAGCAGGGGCAGGAATGGAACCTGATGTGCACACCTGACTGAGGCACACTCCAGAGCTGAGCTTCCCAGGATAACAGCTGACATTTCCCAGCAGCATCGGACGCTGCTGACTGGGGTGAGGGAGGGTGTTCCTCGATGCTCCCCACACGGAAGGAGACCTGGAGATATGGCCCAGCACTGGGGTGGAGGGCTGGCTGCTCTCACCCCAGCACACCACCAGTTGTCCCAGTTCTCCAGTGCCACATACAGCACCTATTACCCCTTTCAGTGCCAGCCCCAGGCTCTCCCAAAACCCCTCAGACACACGTGGGTGTGACACCCAGACATCAATCATTCCAGGTGTGACACCCAGACATCAATCATTCCAGGTATGACACTCAGACATCAGTCATTCCAGGTGGGAGTCACCCTGGCCCAGCACCGGTGCCACAAGGTCATGGCAGAGCAGGGCACCCATCAGGCCACCACCACCTCACAGAGCTGCTGTCCCCGCCCTGGGTAGGTTTGGTGTGCAGGCATCCAAAAAAGTGCGGCTCCTTCCTCAATAAATGATCCTGACCACGCATGGTGGGATTCGTGCAATGCTTTCCCTGGCACAACTCCTCTTGCTGTTGTGCCCACCATCCATCACGGATACCGATGTCCCACAGCCACACATCCCTGTTTTCCCGAGTTAATGATTAAAACCCGTTGGATTTCAGAGGCGCTGCACCCAGACCCCGACAGGCAGGCCAAGGATGCTCGCCCTCTGGGATTAATCATTCTCCTGGCTGTTGACATTGTATCCATATAAACGCTGGGATGGGATTCCCAGTGCCTCTTCCCGGCAGGAGGAGGGAAGCCAGCTCCAACATGAGGGCAGCTCTGGCCCTGCTGCTGCTCTTGGCCACCGCACGTGCAATACACCGAGGTAAGGACCGGGGTTTGCTGTCCCCTGGGATGAGGGGTATGGGGCTGAGGTCCTCAGTTCTGGTGGGTTTTGGTGGCCTCCCCTCTCTCCAGCCCATTCCCAAACTGCCATGCAGGATCAGAGAGGAAAGGGAAGCACTGGGGTGATGGTTTGGTACCTAGGATGCCCCTTTGGGGTTGTGCTGGAGGAGACAGGAGGGGGAGAGGCTGGGCTGGGGTGGGAGGAGGAGCAGACAGAGCCTCAGGGATCAGCTCCTTCCCTTCCCAAGGGAAAATGGGATTTCCTGACCCCCATTCACAAGCAGCATTTCCCTGTAAAATACACCCCTCAATGGAAACGATGCTCTGTGCTGTCCTTTGCTCCCTTCTCAGCTCCACAGGGAATCTGTCGTATTTTCGTTTGCCAAAAAAACCCCTAAAACTTACTTCTCCCACACGGCTTCATGGAAGTGAACAGAAATGCAACGAGTCGGGACCAACAGACGCTGTTGCTGTGAGGAAAGGGACCTGCCTTTTCCACAGCTTCCCCTTTCTGGCAAACTCCCCCTCACCCTTCCCTCCCCTTCCCACCGGAGCGATGTGACCCTCAGTGTCACAGCCCGTGACCCCTGGGTTTTGTGGAGGTCACCCTGCTCCGCACTGTAATCCCAGGAAATGCTGGTATCAGTGTTTACCCTGCTGGTGCCAAAGTCTGACCCATGGGTCTGTAGCACAGATCGATTGGATTTTTCCAGGGATGAGAGCACTGCCGGGATGCCTTCACTGCTGGCTGCTCTGTGGGGCTGGCTCTGGAGCTCCCAGCCCTCATGCTTTCCATGCCCTGCCACGAAAACCAACCCCACATATTCCAAACTCAGAAATGGCCGTATGTTTTGCCTGTAGCTCCCTCAGTTCCAGGGAGGATTTTCTCCTTGCCCTTTTCCTCGGCTGCAGAGCCAAAGAAGCAGCCTGGATACCAGGGATGCTTCTCCCAGACCGGCTGTGCCAACATCTCCCCAGGAACCATCAAATCCTGCTTGGGAAAAGAAGCAACAGAGGGACAAAATAAACAATCCTCAAGAGAATAAAGCACTGTGTTCTGTGGATAGCAGAGAATCCCTCACTCCCTGCTCACGATTCCCCCTTTTCCTGCACTTACAGGTAAAGCTTATGTCCGGGAGAAAGTCTGCCAGGAGTACAGGATGCTGGGGAAGGAGAACTTCCGAACCCTGTAGGTAACTCCTGCTGTCGGTGCCCTGCCAGGACACTCAGCACCTGAGCCAAGAACAAAAACCATTAAATAAAAATAATCTTGGAAGCTGGATTCTCTCCCTGCAAACAGGCCATTGCTCTTAGCAGGAGAAGAGTTTACTTCATTTCTGAGCTCCTCAAAGCCAATTAGGTGCCTAAATAACTAGGAATTCTAACAGAGCTGACACATAATCCCCTGTAAGGGTCAACCTCCAGCCTGGAACCTGCTCCAGTTCTTCCCTGGCTGTTTTCCAAGGAATACACTGCTATTTCTCGCAGCGCCACAGCAGACCGTTTTAAACCCCGTTTGAGCAGAACGATGCTGCGACACGAGTTTTGCTTTCAGAGAGAGGAACCTGCCACCGGCTCACCTTGTCCTTGCTCCCTTCTCCCAGGACCATCATCGCCAACAGCCGGAAATACTCCAACGGCACCTTCGAGGAGATCGGCCACCTCGTCCGGGAAATCGTGTCCCTGGCTGAGACCTGCTGTGCCGACGGCGCAGACCCCTCCTGCTACGATGCCGGGGTGAGGCATCACCGAAAGCGGGTGATGGACCCCACACCAGGGCTGGGATGATATGTGGTGTGTGGCCATAACCCCTCGTCCCTCCCACAGTCCTCGGCCCTGTCGGTCAAGTCCTGCAGCGCGGACTCGCCGTTCCCGGCGCATCCCGGCACGGCCGAGTGCTGCACCCACGAGGGGCTGGAGCGCAAGCTGTGCCTGGCGGCCCTGCGGCACCCGCCCCAGCCGCTGCCCCGCTACCTCCAGCCCTCGGACCAGGAGCTCTGCCAGGCCTTCAGGAAGGACCCCCGGGAATTTGCGGACAGGTAAGCCTGGACGGGGAAGGCGCCTGGTTGAGCCCAGGTGGGTGCTGGCACCGGCTGGTGCCATGATCCAGCAGCTCGGGGTGGTACCTGGAGAGGGCTCCCATCCCTGGAGAACCCTAATCCCTCCAAACCCTACATGTCCTGCTCCCAATCTCCCGATCCCGGGGTGCCGGCTCTCCTCATCCCGCCCCTGCCGCAGGTATCTGTACGAGTACGCCAGCAGATACAGCCAGGCGCCTCTGCCTGTGCTCCTGGGCTCCACCAGGACCTTCCTCTCCATGGTCTCCACCTGCTGCATCTCCCCTGCACCCACCGCCTGCTTCCTGAAGGAGGTGAGACCTCTCGGACCGCCGGGCTTGTCCCCATCCTCGCTTCCTGGGAAGCCAGGTGAACCCTGTGCTGATGGCCTGGGAAGAGGAGGACATATCTCTCTTCTTTTTGTGGCAGAAACTGCAAAGAAAAACCCTCTCCCTCCTCACCTTGACATCAAACCGGGCTTGCTCCCGCTTCTCGGCGTACGGGAAGGACAAAGTCACCTTCAGGTACGGGGGAAATGGCCTTTCCCTTTGGGAACAAGTGCTGGGCTGGGAGCGTGTTCCCATTTCCCACTGTGGATCCCGTTTGAGGGCAGAATTCACAAAGACAAGCTTTAACTCTTGTGTAAATCCCTGACGATGCTCCACGCACAGCACAGGCACAGAGTGAGCCCTGTGCTCCCCATCACCTCCCTCCCACACCCCTGCTCGGAGCTGTTACCTGGAAGGGGGATCCAAGCTCCCTGAGCCCCCCCACACACCCTGTGCCCCCCAGCTACCTGGCCTCGCTGGCTCAGAAGGTGCCCGCTGCTTCCTTCGAGGACCTTTCCCCCCTGGCCGAAGGCGCTGCCGAGGTGTTTTCCCAGTGCTGCGACTCGGTGGCTGAGGACTGCATGCAGAAGAAGGTAGGGGGGGAGCCCAAAACCCACCCCAAAACCACCTCCCAAGTCCCAGGAGGGGCCCAGAGGACGCACCCCATCATGGCAGGGGGTCCACACACCCTTTCTGTGCTCCCCTCTCCGCAGCTCTCGGAGCACACGGCCAAAGCCTGCGCCACGCTGTTGGCCCAGGACGGGCGCTTTGCCGACTGCTGCAGGGGGAAAAACCTGATGGAAAACTATTTCTGCATCCTGGCCTTGCCCCCTGCGCCCGCTCCCAAACTCCCAGAGGCACCGGAGCCGACCAACAAGGAGCTGTGTGGCAAGGAGGGGGATCTCCAGACCACCAGGCAAGTGCTACCCAGGTTACAATCATGGAGTGACTGAAACCATTTAGGTTGGACAAGGCCCCTAAGGTCATTGAGTCCAACCGTTTCCTGACCCTTCCTTCTCCCCTTGGTTATATGGTTTGGTAATTATGGGGTTAATCCTCAATTCCCTCAGAGGCACCACCCCCAGGGGCTGCACAAA